TAAAGCCACTAAGATGCAAGCAAGAGATTACTAAGTGTTAGGGAATATGAGGGAAAGAAAACATTATTAAGGAGTGAGAACAAGAACTGACAGTAGATAACTGACATTGCTTAAATGCTTAAGAAATATTTAAAGAGATTGATAAGTCTACAAAATTTGGACACAAATATACAATCACAGATAGATGAGAAAAATCTTAGTACTGTAATGAAATTTGTATTTTTTCTATTTTTACATATAGCTTTAACTACTATAGAGTTGACACTAACTGGATAAACTTAACTTCCTCAACCAAATTAATTGTAGACTTGCCTCTAAAGTGATACTTCTTGTCACAGAAACAAAATTGTCAAAATTATTTAGACTATTTTTAAAACCAGGAAATTTGATAAATTTACAGGATCATCAGTATCTGAGATGTACAATACAAAATAGCATTTTTTCATTAAAATTCTAGAGCTAGTGAATGAAGAAGTTCATTCAGTATACCAATCAGTGACACTTAAATTTTAAGTTGACTGTGCAAAATAAGAGAAAAAAATATTACTCACTGTAAAGATTATCAATTACTGATTATGGAAATAGTGAAAAGAGAGGAGGGTAAAAAATGGAAAAGACAGCTTGAGTTTTCAGCACCAATAATTGTCATTTCCTTAACAAAGAATAACAAATATAAGATACTTTAAAGATGAAAAACACACAAAAATGTTAGCAGATTTTCAAAGAAAACATACTTTTTCACATTAGATTTCAGTGATATGTTTCACTAATGCAAACACACCAAATTTATTATTATATGTTCATTTACTTGAAGTAGTTTCCTCATTTTGGTTGTTACAGTTTTCCAGCCTTCTTCAGTAGCAACCCCCTGAAAGAGAGTTCAATGCCAGAGCGACATCTAAAATAATTTAACTATATCCCTTTTTGTTCATATTTATCACTTGTCTTCCACTAAGCTATCATATATGACTTTTTCACAATTCTGGAGATTGAACTTCAAGGAACTAGATCTGCTTAACCATGCTTTTATCCACTGGGTTATTACAACAATCAATTAACATAGAATAATTAATTGATTTGAGATATCCCCTCTGGTCTGGATGTCATACTGAGGACAATCCACACCCATGGATTGAATAAAGGGTTCAGCTCAAAATTCCTGGAAAGTTACCAACTATGACAGAGACCGAGAGAAAGGTAAACGGTAGAATGGCTACAATGTTGTGAAATGCATTGACAACCAAAATGGATATATTAGCTCAAGTATGTAAATGTATATAATTATAATCCCTCAGCAGAAATAAACAACAAAAATTTTAAATTTACAATAGAATTCAACCAGAATGAAATTAGTTTTGAAATTATTTTGTTCAGATGCATCCTCATCTTTATATTTTGATCGTTCTTTCCAAATGTCATCTTCAGGTGTCTATCATGAAATTTTGACCCAAATGCTTTATTCTGTCCAGTGTTAGACTGCCCATTCAATATAATTTTGATATTTGAATATATATATATATATATATATATATATATATATATATAACTCCATTACCACTAAATTTAATTTAGTTATTGACAGATAAAATGGCTGTTGTATTGAGTGTCTTATAAATTGGTTATAATAAAATTATTCTGAAACTGAACTGTCTTTCCCACCTGTTCAGAAAATATAAGATCCATATTTTTGTGGTGATTAATCAAAAAGGCAAACAAATATTTATACAAGGACAGGAGATTGGTGTAAATGCAATATGCTTAAACTAGACATTATATACAGATATTTTTATAAAACAATCAACTTAAAAAGTGAAATATGTTAATTTTTAAGCTTTACTTTTTGAAAGCAACATTTATTTACTTTTGCTCTGCTTTCATAACATGTTGCACCAATAACAATTTTAAACATAATCTTGCAAAGAATAAATAGAGAAGGCTTAGAGAAAAAAAAAGAAGCAAAATGCATTAAATAGATCCTAATCTTCTTTTATATTCACATGAGACAAAAATAAGTTGTCTCAAAATTCATCACTCAAAATTGCAAAACTTTACTTATAAAATTAAGTGATGCAAAAGTTATAATACATATTTTGCACTTATCTTTCAACATACTTTGAGGATGTAGTGTAAATCCTTTAGTTGACTCCCTTTATAAGATTAGGTGTATTTATTTACTGCATAATTCTAAGATCATATACAGAGTCAACAAAATTAATTTTGTATTTTGCTTTCTTTAAAAAAAATAAAAATGCACCTGATACATTTTTAAAAACTTGTAACCAGTATGTTCTTTTCTAAGGTATTTCATTTTTGTTTTTTTCATAAATCCGTAAATTTTAGATACAATCACAAACAAAAAAAAAAAAAATTGAATCAACTGTTTGTTATAACACGCTAACAAACCCACAATATTATAAGAAATTTAAGAATAAAAAGTGGTCTAGATTATAACTTAGATTTTTTTTTTATTTTTTAAAAAAATATTTTGTTTGTAAAAAAAAATTAGAAAAAAAGAAAAACTTGCATGTTTGATTTAATCTTATTTGTTTCCTAATAAGCAAGTAATCCTGTTTTTATTTTCAAGGCATATGCAATCATAAGCAGAAAATCTCTAGAAAGAATCCAATTTTGGCTTAACAGATTTTTTAAGCATCATAATTATAACTCAATGACAACTAGAAACATAGCTAAAGTGGTTGAATTTGGGAGGGGTGATGTAATCACAATCAACACCTCCTATCACATTGGTAATGATGTCACAGTTCCAAACACTAAACACAGATGATGGCCTATGCATGCTTCTTATTAGTTTTTTTTTTTTTTTAATCATTTTTTGGGTAATGTAATAACTGGGGGACAATAAAAACTCAAAAAGTTGGACAAAGATTACATTTAAAAAATCTATTTAAGTAATATGAAACAGACTGAAAACAATGTTGTGTAGTTTTTTTTTGTGAGAGAACATACCAGTCATCATTTGAAGACCTTATAAAAAATTTGTAGATGTCAGAAAATGCAGTAGTAGACAAAGTTTATGACCAGGTAGAATTAGAGTGTTTTTTTTTTTGTGTTTTTTTTTTTTGTTTTTTTTTGGTGAATTTATTAATTTCCTATAATTATCTCCCACTTAACTACTAGGATAGGTGGCATTTTTTCTTTTTTAAAATGGATGGAAAAATGTTATGGAGGAATTTTGATATTTTCACTTACCTGCAGGCAGACACATACATACATACAAACATATAAAGATTTTTTTCTTTTAAATAAAACTGGTAGGAGAAAAAACATTTTGAAATTGTCTCATAACTTCATTTTATCATTTTAATTCAATAAAAAAAAATTAAAAAAAAATTTCCTTCAAGTTTATAGTTAGGCAAATAGTGGCATGGGACCAATAATGTACAATCATTTTCTCACTTAATTTCTTTCAATAGTAAGAACTAAAGACATGGGCCATATTAATGCCTTTTCTTTCTTTGCCCATTTTATTTTATTATTTTTTTTTAATGTGCTGTTTGTAAAGAAACTTCCAAACACACACAAAACTTTCCAGGCATATATGCACTTGTAGCCCACCGACAGGAGTACATCAGGACAGATGGAGAAATTCACAATATTTCCTTTTTTTTTTTCTTCCCCAATCCCTCTCGTCATGAAAGGGTTGATGAAAATGTCTATAACAGAATGGAACAGAACATGCACATGTTGGTGTCTTTTCAGCATTTTTCTATTTATCCAAAAAATTAAAAATAATGAAAGTATCATATTTTAAAAAACAACTGTGCTTAAAGTTGTTTTGATATTTAAAATGTCTAAAACTTATGTGCTAGTCGAATGTATATCACAAAATCATTTACACACACACACAAGAAGCTACATTCATACATTATATACATATGAAAATGCAAACATGTGTATACATATACTGTAAAGCAATATACACATACACAAATATACATTCATATGCATATTAAATTTTATATATATATATATATATATATATATATATATATATATATATATATATCAATTACATTCACATGGAATATTGAATAAGACAAAAGGTATTTCCTTTTTTTTTTTAAATTATAATATATTAGTCTAAATTTAAAAATCAATGCTTGGAGAAAAACTAAAAAGGAAAAAAAAATGTTAGCACAATTTGCTTTCCACAATGAATGTGTTACCAGCTCTTTAACTATTACCAATTAAAAACTTTTTAGCTGTCACAACCAAAACTTAGTATCACCTGTAATATATTCACTAATCTTTTTTTTTTTGTTTACATTTTTCATTTATTACAATTATTATTCTGTAATAGGTTGATACAGTTCTGGCTGACACAAGTGAAATGTATGTTACTTTAGTGTAGAAGCCCCAAAGGAAAAAAAATAATTTTCCTTTTTCACAACAATTTAATAGATATACCTTTTTAATTTCATTAAGTGAATGAGATGTTCTTGTTAATACTCAATGAACAAATCATGTTCCAAAAGCTCCAAAAGGTGTGTGTGTGTGTGTGTGTGTGTGTGTGTAGCGACAAAGCAAGGCAGAATGATCCCCCTACCCCTTTATGTAATTTAACTACTGCCCCAACAACACTTTTTGATGATTTTCATTTCCTTGTTTGTGTTTTTCATGGAGAGAAAAGGTTCTTATTTACCCCTGCACAAAGAGGAGAGGGGGCAGGCAACCATTACCAGAAAAATCAATCTGTATTATACATGTATTTATGTTTGTCTAAGTAAGTGTTTGTGTGTGTTCTTGTTCCATGTTCAGCTACCACCCCATATTGTGACTTGTTCCTCCACACCAAGCTAATGTGCCATCAGTCTCAACTAAAAAGAAACTGTAGCTGGGCGCAGTGGATGTCTGACTGGAGTATGTTGCCACTGACTCTCATCATTCAACATTAGAAAGAGCAAAAATGATGAAGAGCCAGTTTGCTGCCATCCAAAAAGGACTGAAAAAAATAGTAAAGAGAGAAAAAAAAAGAAATACTATTTGTTATTTGTTTTGGGCAAATTCAGGTCTAGCACCTCCTTCATAAGGGGTTGTATACCTTCAGGGTTCACCTTGAGTAGCACTTGTGAATGCTCCTCATTTAGATTCCGAATTTCAACAAGTTTCATGAGCAGTTTAGGATACATAATATGGGCTAGATGATAGGGAAACTTAGACTCCAAGTAATGTTGTAAGAGTAGAGCATATTTGTCCTGTTCTCTCCACACATAGCTTTTGTCTATGACATTAGGGCGATCAGGAGAAAACAATGAAATTACAAGGAGGATAATCAACACAGTTTCATCTGCCCGTAAATCTACCGCTAACGATTTCACAAATTTCATGTGATCATCAAATAGCGTTCCTTCACCAAGTTTCAGCTGCTCTGTTGTCATGGCATTAGAATCTTTGTCAAATGGATCCAAGAATTGCTGTTTGTCCCTGTCAAAGTTGATCACCGATCGGATGATGAGCAACTCAATACTGCCACCTTTCAGGAGGCTGATTTGGTCACTCTGAGAAAGAGCCTTAAATGACTTTATCTTCTTTGCCATGTCGATCACTCGCCTCACACTGAGCTCAGCAATGTTCACCAGGTCTATCACGGACGGGTTGTTACGGGAATATGATGATTCTACAGAAATTTCTAGTGATTGCCGATACGCTCCGATCACTTCACTAATCATGGAAAGCTCATCTTGTTCCAACATCCGAAGGCGGTTCTGTGTCGTGCTCACATCACCTGACTGCATTTTTTGTTTCTCTATTTCTCGTATTTTTCTGAAAAATAATATCAGCAAATAATAAAATTATATAAACATTTTAACAAATTTGAAAATAATTACTAAATTTCATGTTATTTGTATTGGTAAATGTATTATTTTAATGCTATGCAATGAAATTTTCTAAATGGATAGATCACATAAATGCCATAATAGTCAATTACTCAAGCATATTGAGTTGACCAAGAATTTTAATCTTTTTGTCATTAGTGCATTTAGTTTTAACTATTTTCAATTTATTCAAAAGCATACATTTCAAACTTTTTATTAAAATCAGTGTATTTTTGTTGATAAATTCTAAATGCAGCAGAGAATAATCAGCAATTTTATTTTATTTTTTTTAAAAGAAAGATAATTGATTCTAAAATGCAAAAAAAATAATTTTATTGATCATGTAACAAAAAGCAGTTTGGAAAAATCATTGGTTAAGTTTAAGATTGGTTGCAAGCTAAATAAGATGTTAATTGAAAATAACATTATGCAACGTGGCAATATACAAGATAATGAAAATTTTCCATTTTTGAAAAGTAGGTACTTTATGACATGGAATACAAGAGATCATGGTGCAAGCAAAATGAACCACCAATAATTATACCAAAGCTCTATCTTCATCCAAAGTGATGCTTTATTATGATCATTTGAAAGGGGTACTTTTTGCCACTTTAACAATTTTTACAATTAGACCAATTAAAGTCAGCAAGTGACAATTATGTGGCATTAGTTAAAGAAAGGCATAATATACAATCAGGATCATGTTTCTTTAAAATCTTGACAAAAAAGACTAGTGTGGAAGTAATACTAAAAATTTAACTGAATTGCTTTGTTCTATTTATATACCAGCATGTGTTGTACATCTTCACAGTTGTCACTTAATGGAGATCAGTAATTTGCATATTCAGATTAAAAATCAAACATAAAAATAACAAATTTAGCCTTTGTGAAAAATCTTTTTGATCACAGCTTCAGAAGAAACTGAGAGTAAACATGTTGACATTTTAGTAGAATATTTGAAAAATGTAACAGATATTAATTTTCATTTCTGAAATAATTTTGGTTCATAAAATGAATTCTTCTAAAACATTCTTTTGTTTAATAAATTTATTTATCTTTTAATGATTAAAAAAAAGAAAAGCAAACATTTATTTATTTAAAAACTGATTTTTTATGCTTTATTTAAAACTAGTAACTAAATACCCCCCCTGCTTTAAGCTATTTTCATACAATATAAAATTGCATATGTGTAATTCTTGTAATTAAAGCAGTTTAAGCCTATTAAACATTTGTTAATTATTTCTTATATGGCTTGTAAGCATTGTGGGGTAATGGTAAATTCAATGTGCAGTGGAGTAAAGGAAAGAGTCTTGCCTCATGCAACACCAGATATAATTATTTGTATTGAATAATTGTTAACAATGTTGGTAAAAATTTTATAGATATAGATGGCAAAGTCATAAGCACTGCACCAAATTTCAAAAAAACAAAAAATTTAATCATATAATATAAGTTACATAATTCTCTTTAATTTCTGGTTTTCTTAAATGAGTGATTTCATTACTGAAGACAAAGTCAAACAAATTATGTGTGATTGAGAGAAAGAGAAAATAAATAAGTATTTAAAAACAATATTGTATAAAAAAAAGTGTTTTCGACTTGAAATAAACCTATTTTTGAAAATAGTCTTAAAATAAGGGAAGCAAATAAACTACCTATTTTCTTCAATCCTTTGTCGTTTTCGCAATTTTTCTTCTTCTGTCAGAATGTATTCTTTTCTCATTCCTATTTCAAAACATTTTCGTAGCCGGCATTTTTTACAAAACCGCCTGTTTGATACATCCATTTTGCATTTTTCTTCATATGGACATTTGAAGTAATCCTGGCAGAATAGTAAAAAATAGAAATTAAAATTTTTTTTTTCTTTCAAAGATGAAAATGACAAATTTGATGTGGTTATTTCTCAAAAAAAATACAGATTAGAAATTTTAACGTTCATAATTGAAACACTCAAAAAAATTTAATAGAAACAAATGATATATGAAAAAGATTAAAGAGAAAATTTAATGAGCATATTAATTAGAAATATCATCAAAGCTTTGTATGAGAAATGAAAAATCAAAAGAGCTTGATAAATACAAATATAAAACAACAAATTATCAAACAGTAGCAAGCAACCATTAAAATTTTGTTTATCCATTTCATTACTGTATCAATCTCAGTACCTATATTGAACAAAACTATCCTCTTCTCATTTCTACAAGTGAATCAATATAATGCATTCTTAGTTCTAGTTATAAAAGTAGTTTCATTAAATATGTATATGTAAGGTTAAATAGAAAAGAATATCTAGAGTTCCATGTTATGAATTATAGTTAAAATATCATGATGCATTGAAGAATTTTTCATTAAAAAAAAAAAAAAAAAAAAGAAATAATTATTTAGACAGCCCATGAAAGAAGAAAATTGTCTTTCTGAAAGAAAAATCATATCTGTAAATTGCATGAATATAAAATAATTTAAGAAAAAATAAAATACAAAAACATTGGCAATAAAACCACAAGTCTAAATCATAAGAAAGTTTTGAAACAAATTAAAATCATTAATGCCATGATTAACTCAAAGTTCTTTTTTGGATTCATGGGAGATGTAATAGATAATTTTAAAAGATGGGTGTCATAATGACCTTATGCACAATGCCTATAGTGAATATATTCAGATCACAATATCAGCAGGTACACACAATAGGACAGAAATAGCAGAAAATGGATGTTGCAAAAGTAAGATTACCAATTATTCAACTATTGGGTGTTTGTTTTAATTGTGTACAGGTTAAATGCTATACACAACCTATAAATTAAATACAAACAATAAAAGCAATTGCATTAAGATTTAAATAATTAAGATTGTTTTTCATCTGATACAAATCATTATATGCACAAACTAATCCCAATCCGTCTTCAGAACAGAAATTAAAATTACTTTGTAAATTTCTCTTAAAGGTTTTGTTTTGTTTAAGTTTATGATACAAGAAAATAAAAAGAATTTGATAATACAGTCCGAGAAGATTTATTAAGAATTATTTGGATCAGTTATCCTCATTAAAAAAAAATAAGGTTTGCCAATATCACCTATCAGTTTCTTACCTTTCTTGTTTACTTAAAAAGGATCTCAAATTAAACTGACTAGTTTTGGAATATAAGAAATGTAGAAGAAAAAAAATGGAAAATTGTAAAATAAATTTCTTTTTGCTTTTTAACCTCATTTTGTATTTCATTATCTATAAAAGGATTTTTTATTTAAAAAAATGTGCAGAACATTAATTAAACTAAGATTTATTTCTTGATTATAGGTCACAAATTATAAATTTTTAAAAAAACAATTATACAAAATAACATAAATTTTCAGAATAAAAAACTTCCAAAAAAATGGAGGATTACTATGGATTGAAATCAGTTTTTTTGCTTTTTATTTTTCTTTTGCATATTTTCACATCCAAAAGAAGAATTCTTTGTAAAATTTAATAAAACAGATTACACAATATATAATCTGAAATGATGAAAAGAATCCGACTTTAAAACATTATCTAAAATTTTAATTTTTTCACACACCATTTTTAGAAAAGTTCAAATTTTTTCATTTTCATAGAGCTGTCCAAAAAGACAGATGCAAAAAAGAATGATTTTACAATCAGCCTAATATATTTAAATATAAAAAAAACTTATTAAAATTCTGATAAATAGAGCATGTAGTAGAATTAGACCAAAAATAGGACAAGAACATGTGTGGCTAATTTTAATCAACAAAAAAAATGATCAATATTTAGGCTCAGAATAATATCAGAAATTGATTTACAAATATTCCAAAATCTATTTAATTTTTATACATTATACAAAAGCATTAATCATACAAAATTTTGCTAGAACTTTGGGTAATCTTGACATATTTAAAGGATATTAGAATAATCCAGAACCTATATGGACAAGAAAACGTTCCCATATAAATAAAAATGAAAAATGTAAAAATACAAAAAAATAAAAGAGGTTTAAAACAAGGATGTTATTTCTTACTAATTATTCAAACATTTGCAATGAGGCAATTCTGAGAGAATTTGGTGACAGTGTTTATAATAAAAAAAAGAAAAAGACGCTTAAGGAACTGTTACAGAAGATAGTGAAGCAAAAAGAAAGGACTAAACATCAATTGCAAGAAAACAGAATGCATCGTCATCAGCAAAAGGAACAGCCCAACATGAAAATTACAGATATGAGATACCAAAATCAAAGAAATACAACAATTTAAATATCTGGAAAGTGTTTTTAAGAGGATAAAAAACAAACAACACATTTGAAATCCAAAGATGCATTGAAATAGTGAAAGATTCTTTCCAAAAGCTAAGCAAAGTATTAAGAAACAGGAAAATTTTGTTAGAAACAAAAGAAAAAGTAGGAAATTATTTGTTATTTACATTGTTTAATCCTCATCTTTTTAATATTCACAATGTTTCTTAAAATTATGATATGGCTATAAAAAGATGATATTTTTGGAAATAACCATTTATAATTTATTTAGTCCACACGGGAAGATTGAATATGGAAAAAAAGATAATCCAACAGTTTTGAGTATTGTTTTTTATGATACAAAATAGTTACATTACCTCATCTCAGAAATATAGACAGATGTTAAATACTGATTGTTATCATAATATTAGGTACCTCCACGAGATCGCTAAAAAAAGAGCATAGCATGATGAAAAAAGATTTTAAACTTGACGAAAACAAAAATTTTATCGTCTAAATGTTTGTTATTATTAAGAGGAAAGGTCAAAGTATTTTTGGGGTATTTTTTTTCCATTTTTAATCGTTCCTAGCACGTCCGAAATTTTCGTTAAAAATCTTGTTTTTTTTTTGAGTCAGCAAAATTGACCATTTTTTTTCCATTTTAAAAAAAAAAACTGGAAATCTGACTTTGAATTTTTTTTAAATATCAATTATCATTTTTCAAAACTTATTTTAAGAAAATCAGAAATTATAATGTTTATTTAAAATATTTTGAACCAAACTTAACTTAGCTTTTGTGCCAAAAAAGATGTAATTTGAAAATAAAACAAAGCAGGTCATAAACTTTCGCGTCTCTTGACATGTGATGAATGATATATTTACTGAATTCCATGAGGCTAATTTGTTCTGGAAGGAGAAAAGTGAAATAATTTACATTTACGTGAACAAATTATTTACCCCGTTATTTTTAACGAAAACTTTCAGCGGTCTAATTTTTTTTTTTTTGTACTTAGCTTTCACCTTTACGTTTATGATGCTTTATGGGAAATATATTTAAAGAAATTAAAATAAAACTGTTAAGAGTGACATTAAAATATTTCTTAAGAAAAGGTATCTAATTAATTTATAGGTACCTTTCTTATGAAATTTTATCAGAATTGTACATAAAATACTATAATTTTATGTACATTTATTACATTCTACTGTTATTTGTATTTGCATTCATTTTATTATTAATTTTGATATTTCATTTATGGAAAAAATGTCGTAACTGAGATTAATATAAAAATAAGATCATATAAATTTCATAAGATGATACTGATACTTGTAGGTACCCTTCTCAGTTGAAATTGAAAAATCAAATTAACTTCTCCACACGTGTTTCTTAAAAGTAAAGGCCTTAACAGCGGAGAACAATGCTTAACTCAAATAACGCAACTTAATTATATTCTGGTTTGGTCTTCCGTATTTTATAATTACAGCTCGATTATAAGCACAAAATTACATTTCTTAATTACTGGGGATCTTCTGATTAGTCAAAATGATACAATTTACAACGCGCTAAAAAAAGATCTATCTCATAAGGACATTTATGATTTTTGGATGCGGTTTTTTAACTAATTTTATAATATTTTAACAATTTAAATGTAAAAAATCTATTATAATTAATGAAATAACAAATAATTGTATTAAAATTCATTTTTCATTGAAAAATTTTTTTGCTTTCAGAAAATATTGTCCATATTCATAAAAACAACTAAAAGCAAATAAAAAAAGCATTTGAAATTAAATAATATCTTTGTTTTATTGAGTTTTGTATGTTACAATTCAGAGCTGATTTTCAGGTACTGGGTATCCAATTAAAAAAAAAAAAACATGATTTGCATTCCTCAAAGCCCTGTGCTTTTAATTATTGTAATCACTAAAACCGATGCGATCGAATTTCTAGTTTTTTTCATAAAATTAGTTATGGGGGGGGTAATAAATATTTTAAAAAAATATTTCTACCATGACTTTTAAAAAAAAACATATTTATAATAATTTCGATCATCTGTGAATAGTTCCTGAAAGTTTCATTAACATCCGATAATTATTTTATTTTTGCACGATTTTTCAAATTAATGTGTGTCATAAAAAAAAAACGTGCTAAAAATTGTCTATGTTATTTACTAGTTCCGCTGATACAAATAGAAAAAGTTTTTTTAATCAAAAATTTAGAATTTCTAAAAGAAGGAAAATTTTTAAAAATAATAAAAAAAACTTTGGTCTTTCCTCGAAAATAATAACATAAGCATTTAGACAATAAAATTTTGTTTTCGGCAATTTTGGCGTTTTTTTCATCAAGCTATGCTCTTTTTTTTAGCGATTTCGTGGAGGTACCTAAAATAATAAAATTCCTCCTATATGGTTTGTGAGTTTTGGACAGTTTGCTGAAAGAAAAAAGAGTCTTGAAAACAAAATCCACTTTTTTTTATACAAGGATGCAGAGAATACCATTTTTTTGAAGATGAACAACAACAAAGTTTTTCAAAAATGGAAATAAGGAGGACACGTATACTTAACATCAGAAAGAGACAGTTGGAATTAAAATTTAAATTTGAAAGAGGGATGGGAAAATAATTTAAAAAAAAGGAAGGTTGAAGGCACAATGACAAAAAAAAACAATGCATCCATTTACCAATTTACAATTTTTGTGTAAATGGACAATCAGAAGAATGATATGAACAATTCTCAAAAATAAATAAAATAACAAATATGTTTAATTTTTATTTATTAAAAAAAAACAAAAAAAACTGACCTCTCATAATTCTTAATCATTTGACTCAACATGATCTTTGAAGAAATATATGATCGGAATAGAGGGATTTACTTTTTATATCCCTATAAAGTGAAGACTTACAAAAAACATTAGTTCTAAAAGTTCAACAATAATGTAACAAAAACATTTGATATTAAATTCCATTGATAATATTTTTTTATAAGAGTTAGTACTATATCATTTGATGAATAAAATAGATAAATTTAGTAAAGATATAAACATTGTTACCAAACCAAATCAATGCACTAAAATATTTCATATGAAATATCTATCCTAAAGTGTAACTACTTTTTAAAGTAATATTACAAACACAAGATATCCTAGTGTGATATATATCTATTATTACATAAGCTGTTAACTTTTGTAAATAATCCCAGACATTGTTTTGTCCTATACCTTAGAAACAACCTAAAAACTCATTAGCACTAAAAATAATGCTTATTGAACATCTCTTAAAAAACAAATGATAGGGTTAAATCACTTTTCAGTAAATAAACAATTTTGAATTTTCTTGCTCAGATGAAATGTATTTCAATCAGTATTTCTTAATACAAAGTTGCTATGAAATTTTTCTATAAAATACCATTTATTTTGTGTATAAAATTCTTTGAATTTATACAATTTACTAATGATATTAGTAAAAGTTATTCTTTTTAATCACAAAAAGTATTACATCCCATTAAATAATCTATCCACCTAAAGTGAAGACTGAAAATTTCCAAAAAGAAATACTAATTGATACCCTCACCCTTAACTAGCTTTTAATTTGTTTGAATTTAAAAAGAAAATGGAGGCAGAGAAAGAAAAAAGTGAATATTTACCAAACCCTTTGGAGCATTTCTTCGGAAAAACGCTTTACATGATTCACAAGAGATGGCATCAAAAATTATAATGACAAAAGCCCTATTCCACATGGACCAAAAATGAATTTTCTTCTTTGTTCTTGCAGCTTTAATATCAGTAGTATTAAAATAGCTTAGTTTGTTCAACTGATGAATAGTGGTTCTTTTTTTTTCCATACTGTTTGAAATACTGAAAAGCTGAAAAATTATATATATATAAAAAAGTTATATATATAAGATATATATATATAAAATTAGATTGGAACAAAAATATATAAACTAACAGTATTTATGATTATTTATTTTAGATATAAGATAAGAATTCACCAAAATTTTGATAGTTTATTGTATTGCTACAAACATGAAAGTCTATTTTTTTAATTTTAGACTTTCATTCTATATATTTATTAATAAATTATTTTTTTATTTAACTACCACATTAATTTTATTAGCTTAACTTAAAAAGAAAAATACTTTCATATAATCTATAATTTTTCATTTCTTTTTTTTTTTTTTTAAGATACAATGTCCTTTGATTGAAATTAATATCTGAAAACAAACAAATGTTTTATAAAATAGTGATTGAAAATTAAGTTAAAGATGAGCAAAAAGAAATGACCAAGTAAAAGAAAATAAGAGCAAAAACAACTGTATTGATTACAGAAATAGGCATTTTCATTTAATCCAATGAAGTCTACTTAATGTTTGCTTATTAATCCAACAAAGTCATTTAATATGGGATAGGTCAATTTATAGGCAAAATTCTCTAATTTTCCATTTCTAAATTTTCCTTGATCTGAAAAAAAGAAATTTTTGGTAAATTCTGTTTTTTCTGCTTTTACTTTTGTGAAATTTCATTTTCACCATTTTTATAGTATTTTATGAGAAAATTGCAATACAGTATTCTATAATTAATACTAAAACTGAAAACAAAAATATAATTCAAAGTTTCATTGCATATAAATAAATATCTACAAATCTTTTTTTAAATGGTGAAAATGAGATATGACTAAGGTTTAAGAATATATGATAAAAAGACACTTCTAGAGTTTTCTAAAGAATGATAAAACATTTTCTTTGAATGTGGCATTTTATTACTGAATAATGAAATAAAGTTTTTCATATTTTTAAGTTAATTCTCATACAGAAACTGAAAAGAAGAAAAAAAGAATAAAAATGATTTATTTAAAAAATACTGATTTGTGACAATCAACAATAAAAAAAAAAAAAAAAATTTAATTATGCCAAGATTTTAAAATACATAAAATAGTTGTGATGTTCAGAATACTTTTAAAATTATATTATAGCTGCTGCTGGCAGAGGCAGTTAAAAGCATGTCAGACATAACAACAGTTTCTCCTGCAAAGGTAGAGACAGGTTTGAATTCTGCCATTTTTTTTGCATTATTGCATTAAAACATTTATATAACACACACATATTTCTTATTTGTGAGGCTCTCTATAAAAAATAATGCTCTCCTATCATCAACCTTACATTATTTAATATTGGAAATAGAAGTGCTGAAAGTTCTTTTAAAAATAAAAAAATACTTTTAAAAGATTTACATTTTGAAAAAAAAATTTTGTACAAACAAAATTTAAAAAAATAACAGTCAAAACATTAGGAAGGATACATAACAAATGCCGAAAAAAAAGCAACAAACAAAAAAATGGTTATAGAAGAAGTTGAAGGAACCACTATTAAGCCTTTTTTATTTCCTTAACGAACAAAAGGATGTTAAGATGGTGTAGAAAAAAAAAATACTTCAATATTCCTTGTTTGGCATATTCAATGAAAGATGAAAAAATTAAAAAAAAAAAAAGAAAAATATTTTCAAACAAAAATATAAATATATATATATAATAAACAGGTATACCTCACCATATATGTATGTAATTTTTCAGGAGAGGTGATTTAAGTCAAAACGAACTTTTTCAAAGACTAAACCAAATAACCATTCCCAGTTCAGTATTTTATTTATAAATGCATTTTTTTAATAAATATGGTCAATAAAAATCTATTTTAAAATATGAAAAAAATATTCTAAATAAAAATATAGTACAAAGAAAAAAATATAATCTAAATTTATTTTACATATACATATTATATGTAGATATTTATAATTTTGCAATCTTTACTTAAACAGTTAACAACATTCTATTATTTTGTGAATGTGGTTTACTCTAAATATTATAAAAATGAAAATGATTTTGTAAGGTTAAATAACAAATAATTTATTAAAAAAAAAAAAAGAAAAATAAAGTAATTTATGTTAAATTTACCAATATTTACATTCAATTTGTTTTACATCATGGACATAGATTGCTGTGGATCGTCAGCATCAAATGCTGATTCTGGCTGTTGTTGTAAAAATTTTTTGATTTTTAGAAAGCAAACTTTTGAAAGTTCTTTGAACTGAGTTTTTCTTTTCTATATATAGATTACATGAATAATAAAAAATAATTTATAAATGTTTGTGTATTTAATTTTGAAAAGTGTTTGTCCATATCCTTGAAAATTTGATATCCTTTTTCATAAAAAAATCAAAATTCCTGCATTTTTCTTTATGGAAAAAACATGCTCAGGTTCAACATTTTTTTTTTTGCTCAAATTGATTTCTGTCAAATTTTGTTCATTAGGTCTGCTTTTTTTTCAAATAAATCTATGAAATCCTCATCCTCAAATCATTTCCAGAATCATTCATCATGGTTTTCAATTTTATATTGATTTCTATTATTATTTTGACCATGTTCTGACCATGTGGCATCATTTCATTCAGCCTTATATATTTAATACAACTTTTCAAAAATCAAAAGTGTGCATGATTCAAGATAATCATTTTGCAGCTATTACTTGCAACAACTGTTTCTTCATATATATTTTTGATTGAAGATTTGAACAATCCATAATCTGTATAAGAGACTTGGTGTTAAAAGGCCTACACAAATTAATGTTGGATAATTTATATGTTAAAAGGAGGCCAAGTATTATCAATTAATAATATACAAAAAAAGGAATTTTCTTCTAGCAATAGTTTTCTGCTGCTGGGATAAAATGATTAAAGAATTAATTTTCAAAAATAACAAATTGTAACTCCATTCTTTTTGGATTAAAATCCATATTAGAAGGAAGAGATGCCTTCATTATGTTCTTAAGGATGGGGGGTTGTGTGCATGATATACCAACAATTTTTTAATTTAAAATCTCCTGTACAATTTTTCCTAACATAATGGTAATACATGTTCTTTTGAGACCTTTTTAGCTAAAAAATTGATTTTTCTTCTTTGGAAATAAAAAAATATAAAAACAAACTATTTTTCTAATGAAATTTTCATCAATGTAAAAAAATCTGTTTAGGAAGAAATCCGTTTTCTTCAATGATCTTTTAAAAAAATCAGCTGCTGCTTGTTCATCTTCTGATGCATTTCACTTTGCTTTTTACTTTGAAATATGATCATTTTAATAGAAAAATAAACCAGCCAATAATGTGTTTTTAATTGGATCATTTCTCATTTTTATTTTCAAACATCAGGTCCTCAACGACAATGGAAACTTTTGCTGATAATAGTAGCAATTTTTATGATTCAACCTATCAATCCAAAAGAATATAATTAAAATCTCTATTTTTATTTTGAACAAATTTTTATAGTTATCAAATTTGTATAAAAAAGATCAAAAACGTTTAAATTTTTCTGGGTTTTATCATAGTAAATTTTTTGTCCAGTGTTTCTTTTCCTTAGAATAAACAATTAGGGAACAGTTAAAGCTCATTCACAAAAATAAAAATCCCAAATGAATGAGAATGAGACAGTAGGCAATAAACAGATGTATACTGTGTATGTTTAAACAAATCTGGATTTCAATTTCACAGAAATTATAAAGTGGCTTTGACAATGATAAAAATGGTAGATATTGGAACTACTGTGGAAAACACTAATATTACTGCTTTTAAAAGTTGCTAAATAAATGACAATACAGAGTCACAGAGGTTTTCATATTTCGTTCTCTGGGATTTATGATGACTATATTAATATTTACTGTAATGTACATATTTTAATGATTTGATATACTTTTACTATTTGTTGTACAGTAACATGATTTTATATACTTTTAATGCTTTTCTAGTGATATTACGATTTCAATGTGTGTGGTGGACAGACAAAGTTGAATAAATTATTTTTTCATATTTTTTTTTTGACAAATGATGTATAATAGAGAATGACATAACTCAAAATGATGTAACCTGGGATATACCTGTATGTGTGTGTGCATATATATATGCTGAATATAGTGAATAACATCTTTCATAAAAAAAAAAAGATTTTTTCAAAGACAAATTGAACATCTTTAAAGGTAAAATAAATAAATTAATTCAAAGCATTTATTAAAGTCAGATAAAATCAAAATTTAATAAATAATGTCCAAGGATTATAATCCTAAATTAAAAAAAAAAAAAAATTTGTCAAAAATCTATAAAAAGTAAACAATCACTTAAAAAAAAATCTCAAGGAAGATTGTTTATTATTTGAAGCAAAAACAGAGGAACGAAATGATTTAGGATTTTCAAAATTAAAAAATGACTTTAGTCATAGTATAAAAGAGTTATCTGTGAAAAAAGATTGGTGATAGACTACTTTCTCAAAGGAGACATAAAACATCCTTCATGTTTTACTAATGATGATTGAACATCACATCAGTAAAAGCCTTCTGCTAAAAGATTTAAAAATTTTGCTGTCCACCATCCCTCCTTCATTCCTTGTTTTTGCTTGAGACTTTCCCTTGGCTGATTTAAAGGCCCGTTAGATAGGCATTTTTTGTCTGTTATCCAGGGTGATGACATTTATGAATGTTTTAAAGGAGTGATTTCTTTTCAAGATTGTTTGAATCAAACCAGTCCATGATATTTTAACAAAATGTTCGTTTTTTTTTTGTGGAATCATAGAAATTTTTGTAAGGCAGATCAATTGATTCAACTTCATTTACCTACATAATCAAGATATCAAAGTTTTTCACACTAAAATGGAAAAAGATGCAGTAGATTTTTTATGTCTTGGAAAATACCAAAACCTTCT